TCGTCCATACAGTGTTTAAATTAACGCCAAACAATTAGTATGAAAAACGTCAGTCAGCATTTGACCTAATGATAATTTGTACTTGCTGACAAGGTCTTTCTATCGACCATAGAACTTATGAAATGATGACTTTAAACGAAACAGTTGATATTCTTATTTCACCAACTTGTTTGTTAATGATAAGCATAATGATGGCTAAATCTGAAGTGACCTGGGAAGCTTACTCCGTCTTGATACCTTATGCTGATTCTTCTTATGAGACCTAATTTTTAAAGCAATCTTTGTTTTTTAACTTATTTATTGTTGCAATTTATTACAGCATTTTATGATCCTTTTTTTCTCAGGAATAATGAGGTCTTCTGCTAATTTTAATTTTAATTTTGAAATTCCAGTGTACACTTATGTATATTATGCTCATTTATTCCCTATTCTTTAATATTCTAAAGTAGTAAATGTAGAATTAATGAAAAGGTGTTTCTTTCAAAGAACAGGAAAATTCTTTCAATGGCCACCAACGACGTTAAATGGAGTTCGTTGTATTGCCTCTAATTTCATGATCCTTAGGTTCAGTAAGATTTTTCAGTGTTTATTATGCACTTTTCGCGTACATCAAAACATGAAATAACGAATCATCAGTGACATTCCATGGCAAGGCATCATTTGAAATTTACAGCTACATATGTATTCTTTGATAATGTTAGGTGTGTTTTGAAGTGGACTTCTTGGTTTTACATACACAGAGATCGCAGCACTCTTTAAAATTATATATAAACAATATGAACTTACTGTATGACACTATTCAGAAGGGGTCATTTTCCCTCACTTCTGTTTAAAAATAATCGGAATGATTGTAGATAGATTAATTATAATTCACTGTAGAAAAAGTGGTCACAGACCATAGTTATGACAGTGTAACCTTTCAAAGAATATTTTCATTCTTTTAGAGTAGAAAGTAAACAGAACTTTGCACCATACAAAACCACCACAATTATAACAACAACAACAAAACATATTTTGACGCATTTCTCATTTTTTGCATTTTTGTAAAGGTCACCACTAGGAAATGGAATACGTATTACGTCCAGTATTTTCTTACATGTAACAATAATTGAATCACTTTTATCATGATTTAAATTTTATTTGATCTAATTATGTTCCCCAAACGGAGTTTGGGAACATATTGTTTTTACTCGGTTTCTTATTATGTTCCCCAAACGAAGTTGGGGAACATATTGTTTTTACTCTGTTTCTTATTATTATTATTATTATTATTTTTCTTCTCGGGAAAATTTTGTCCGCGAATGATCTTGTAAAGTACACATCCGATTAAGGGGAAACCTTTTTAGGGTAAGTGGGCATGTTATGTAGATGAGCGGAACGAAGGTCATTTTGCGCGCACGTGCTTGCAAGAGCGCGCACGTGCAACACGTGGAATGACCAATATACTTGAAATTGCCGTAACTTTTACATTTTTCGATGTAATGCTTTGATATTTAGAATATATAGACATATTATAAATGTAGATAAGATGACATTGTCAACATGCCATTTTGTGTGCACGTGCTTGCAAGAGCGCGCACGAGCAACACGTGAAATGACCGATTTAATTGATATCGGCGTAAATTTTTACCTTCTTGATGAAATTCTTTGAAACTCGTAATATAAGGATATAGTTGTAGCATAGACAATATGACATGGTCAAAATAGCAAGATCTCACGCGCATGCACGTGCACTTCGCTCTGATTGGCTGAAACTAAAATCTCAATATCTTTCTTGTTTTTTGATGAAATCCTTTGAAATTTTGAACATAGCCATGCATTAGGATATCCTACAACATGATATATAACAATTTTCATGAAAACACGTGCATGCACGTGCGCTGCAATCTGATTGGCTGAAACTTTAAATAGCTATAACTCCCTTGGTTTTCAACCAAACAGGATGGGATTTGGAACATAGATAGATATAATAGACTTCTACAAGAAGGTTTGATCACAATGCACATCCATAAACGTGCATGAACGTACGCTGCAATCTGATTGGCTGAAACTTTAATCAGCTATAACTCCCTTGGTTTTCAACCAAACGGAGTGGTATTTAGAACATAGATAGATGTAATGGACTTCTACAACAAGGTATGTCACCATGCTCATGTATGCACGTGCGTGCACGTAAAATGAGTAAAATCAAAAATACAATTGAATGAGCGTATTTTTTAAAACTTTTGGATTAAATACTTTAATATTTAGTATATTAAAGTATATAGATTGTGTAGACAAGATGATATGGTCATTACGCACATGCATTCACATGCGCACGCGTGCAATGCTAAAATTTGAATGAACTTTGTACCCTTCTCGGTAAACGTTGTTAAAGTATCAAATGCATAAAGTTTGTCTTATTTAATGAAGCTTACAGGGAATATGGCACCAAAAGGGAAATGGGGAGCGTTTGGGGAACATCTGTAACGGTCCCCGTTACAATTAGCACTAGTTATGTTCCCCAAACGAAGTTGGGGAACATATTGTTTTTACTCTGTTTCTTATTATTATTATTCTTATTATTTTTCTTCCTGGGAAAATTTTGTCCGCGAGTGATCTTGTAAACTACACATCCGACTTAGGTGAAACCTTTTTAGGGTAAGTAGGCATGTTATGTAGATTTGCGGAACGAAGGTCATTTTGCGTGCACGTGCTTGCAAGAGCGCGCACGTGCAACACGTGAAATGACCAATATACTTGAAATTGCCGTAACTTTTATATTTTTCGATGTAATGCTTTGATATTTAGAATATATAGACATATTATAAATATAGATAAGATGACATTGTCAACATGCCATTTTGCGCGCACGTGCTTGCAAGAGCGCGCACGTGCAACACGTGAAATGACCAATATAATGGATATAGCCGTAACTTTTTTATTTTTTGATGAAATCTTTTGAAATTTATAATGTAGGGATATATTAGTAGCGTAGACAAGATGACATGGTCAAAATAGCAAGATGTCACGCGCATGCACGTGCGCTTCGCTCTGATTGGCTGAAACTAAATTCTCAATATCTTTCTTGTTTTTTGATAAAATCCTTTGAAATTTTGAACATAGTCAAACATTATGAAGATCTACAGCATGATATATAAGAATTATCATAAAAGCATGCGCAAGCACGTGTTCTGCAATCTGATTGGCTGAAACTTTAAATGCCTATAACTTTCTTGTTTCTCAACAAAACATGATGAAATTTAGAATATGAATAGGTATAATGGATGCATGCACTTGTGCATGCGCAATGCGTAAAATGATCAATATATTTGAAGAACGGTGACATTAATTTTTTTATGATTTTTTATTGGTTCTTGGAATATATAAAGAAATGTTAATGATTTAGCAACATGCCATGATCACCTTGCATGTGCAAGCACGTGCTTTTGCGTGCAGTGCGTTAAATGACAAAAAGTTTATATCATTGTAGCTTTAAAATTCTTTTATGAAATCCTGCAATACTGAGCATATTAAAAAAGTTTTAAAGGAAATTGGCAGAAAAAAGGAGTTGGGGAGCGTTTGGGGAACATCTGTAACGGTCCCCGTTACAATTAGAACTAGTTATTATTATTATTATTATTATTCTTTTTTTTCTTCTTTGTTCTCCGGTACTTTTTTTGTCCGCGAGTGTTCTCAGAAACTGTTCACCCAACTGAGCTAAAACCTTTTTAGGGTTAATAGGTGTGTAGTGTAGGTGTGCAACACGAAGGTTATTTTGCGCGCATACGCATGCACGTGCGGGCGCGTGAAATGAGTGAAATGACGGATATACTTTATATAGCCATAACTTTAACATTTTTTGATGAAATATTTTTAAACTCATTTAATAAGGAAATATTCATAGTGTAGATAATGTGACACTGTCAAATTAGCACGAACTCAAGCGCATGCACGTGCGCTTCGCTCTGATTGGCTGAAACAGAAATCTCAATATCTTTTCTGTTTTTTTACAAAATGCTATGAAATTTAAAATATAGGCATACTTTAGGATGTACTACAATATGATATATAACAATTGTCATGTAAACACGCGCATGCACGTGCGCTGCAATCTGATTGGCTTAAACTTTAAATAGCTATAACTCCCTTGTTTTTCAACGAAACAGTATGGGATTTAGAACATAGACAAACATAATGGTCTCCCACAAGGAGGTATGGTCGTCATGCACAGGCATGCACGTGCATGCACGTGTGCTTTGCTGTGATTCGCTGAAACAAAAATCGCAATATCTTTTTTTAATTTTTGACGAAATGCTTTAAAATTTTAAGCATAATCATGCATTAGGATGTCCTACAATATGATATATAACAGTTGTCATGAAAACATGCGCATACACGTGCGCTGCAATCTGATTGGCTTAAACTTAAAATGGCTATAACTTCCTCGTTTTTCAACCAAACAGGATGGGATTTAGAACATAGACAAACATAACAGACTCCTACAAGAAGATATGGTCGAGATGCACAGGAACGCACGTGCGTGCATGTGAAATGAGTAAAATTACAAATACACTAGATTAAAACGTATTTTTAATACTTTTGGATAAAACGCTGTAATTTCTAGTATATAAATAGTGTAGACAAGATGATAAGGTCATTACGCACATGCATTCAAATGCGCATGCGTGCAATGCATAAATTTGAATATACTGAATATACTTTTGGGAAAACATTGTTATAGTCTAAAAGGCATAGAGTTCGTCTTATTTAATGAAGCTTACAGGGAGTAAGGCACCAAAAGGGAGTTGGGGAGCGTTTGGGGAACATCTGTAACGGTTCCCGTTACAATTAGCCCTAGTTCTGTTTACCTTTAGAGAGGCAGCTGTAATTTATGATGACAATTCGTCATTGTTCTTATGAGACTTTTTAATACAAAACTGACATGAACTTGCATGACACCGCGACATATGAATAAGGCGCACGCCTTTCTCTCGTATAATTAATAAAATGTACTAAGGATTCATCATTTGGAACTGCCTTGAAAACAACACAATATGTGTAATTTTGTAAACATTATACTCCTTTTTCTTTCTTTTCTCCAACCTGTCCACTGTAAGCTTTGGTAAGTACGCCACTTTACTTATATTGAGTTTAATCTCTGTTTAATTAGGCAACTGGTGTTTTTAATTCTGAACAGATTTAAACTCATTTTTAATGTTAATGTCTAACCTGTAATGAGGACAAAACTATCTACTGAGGGGATAAATGGAAACTACCAGGTTAATGTATTTACTGTTGATTTGTTATGAGATTTTGAAACTATGCATTTAACGGGAAGAAATTTCTAGTTTTAAATTTGTTCAATAGATAGACGATATACAGTTGCATAAGCTACTAATGTAATTCAAAATTAATGGATCGTCTAGGAAGAGAATGTAGTAATAAAAGTCTCGAATGATTTTAAATACCAGGGGTAAGTCATTGTGAATTTTCAGTTCTAAATTATATCCCACATAACCAAATGGAAGGCACCTTATCGATGTCTTTCTTGAAATGAATATATGAAATAATCTGATTAGCGATAAAAAGTGGTTAAACAAGAAGAGACAAATTTTAAAATATGTTGACTCATAATTCATGTTCATGCATACTAGATTAGAAATGGTGATCATCCTGCCCTAATTACAAATATAATTTTGTTAATTAGGCATGGCGTTTATTTTTATTAATGGGATGTAAAATCATAATTTTTCCACCGTCGCTTGTTTAGACAAAAACGTCAAGGTGCACCGAGGGACTTCAATAAAGATCTGAAAGTGTCTAGTATACGAAAGTTTATGTCCTTATCTTGAAAATACTTTATTTGTTAGAAGTTTTTAATATGATCTTAAATAGGGACATCATAAAAGAATATGTTTTCTAAATATAATTTTTATTCTGTTAATTCTAAATTGATAAATTCATGTAAAATTTCTGGTAAAAAGGAACCTTTGAATTTTATATTTTATTCCGAACAGGTAACTACGCTCTCGTTCACAAGAAACCCAAATCTCCTACTAGTAAGATCGTGCTTAATATTTCTTTTGTATTTTAATATCTTTTCAGCGACGGCAGATATTTCGACATTGTGGGTCGAGTGGTGTTCGGAGAAGCCCGCAATGAACCAATGGCGGCCAAGCTCGGGGTCGTTTACACGATGCTGAACAGAATGCGTCACGAGGCGTACCCCAACAACCTGTACTCCGTCATCTACGAGAGAATGACCACCGGGGACTACATGTTCCAGACTCTGAACGATGCCAATCACACGCTGGAGTGGCAACAAGCCAAAATCAATAGATATCCGGAATATGAGGACGTGTTTCAGGCGACAGTGGACGCTTTGTGTCGGTATAAATCTGATCCTACTACATGTGCGACAAACTTCTGCTCGACTGATCCGTGTCCTGCTACGGAATCTAATCCTTGGTGGCTTGCCACGAATAAAATACAATTAGGAAACCTATACTTTGTCTGTAGAGTGAGTGCTACGGCGTCTAGAAACTCTCGAGATCGAGGAAGAGGTTAAAGTGTTCGAAGTGTTCCAGAATCGTGAGACCTCTAGTGAACACCACTAAACATAGAAACAGAAACTTGTATATTTATGTATATTCGCCTCATCATTTATTGTGTTTTACGATAATGAAAAATAACAACAAAGCATACATTTACCTATTTTCGAAAAGTTGATTTTTCTATAAAAAAAAAAGACGAATAAAATAAAGAATAAATGGATAGAGTAGAAGATAAATAGAAAGAAATGGATGAATATCTGTAGAGTATAGCTTTGTTTCATTTTTTTTTAATTTTTTACATGCACAATAATGTAATGCAGCTAAATACAGAAAACATATATAATGAATTGTACGATATGTAATCCATTTTTATTCCCTGAAAAATATTGCTGAAACCAGTGTTTAATAATCAACCAGTTCCCATGAAAAGGTCCACAAACTCTGCAAAGAAAGAAAATAAATTTACGTTCATCGAATCTTACTTTGAGGTGCCTAAAAAAAAAACAAAAATGAGAAAACAAATAATTGATACTACCAAAACTCATAGCTTGCTTTTAGTTTCTAATGGCTTTCATTTTTATTTGTCGTTTTGAAATGAAACATCGAGGTCAGTTTATTATTTGGTGTTTTTAATTCAATACTTTTTTCTGTGCAATAAATGGAGATAACGAACATTATTTAAGGTCAAAGGTCCATAAAACAATACAAAATAGGAGCAGAGCAAACATCGGCCTCCGAAACATCAGAGGTGGGATTAGGTGCCATGGAGGAGTAAGCATCTCCTGCGAAATAATGGACTAACAATAGATATGAAAAAAGTCTTTGAAAATTTGACTCAATGATAACTTCTGTTTGCTGACAAGGTCATTATATAGACCATAGAAATGATGACTTTAAACAAGACTGCTGATATTCTTGTTTCAGCAACTTGTTTGTCAATAATTTATCTCGTTTAAGCAATTATACATACATAGAACATTCTCTTGGGTATTGAATCGACTGAGAATTATAAACTCCGTATGTAGGTAACGAAGGTATCTTGATGCATAAGTAAGGGAAGTTGACGATTGAAGTTAAAGTCTCACGTTTATCATAGAGCTTGGTTGTTAGATAACCATTAACCTCTTTTTTCACGTAGAATAATCCAAATATGACTGATGTGTCAAACGGTGTGGTATCATTTATATCTCAAGCTCATCGGGTTAAATCGTTTCAACATAAGAAT